TGCTTAATATGGAAGAGAGGCGAGTATTTCTTTGACATCTAAAATAATTAAAGTTAACTTGTTTTCAATTTGCTTCAGTGGTCCTTAAGAGCCTCAACAGTATTTTTTTTTTATAGAGAAAACAACAAAACTTTCAATTGATGGGCGCACTTCTTAGATGATAGGTCAATTAGGACTCTCTTCGGCGTCTCAACCTTTAACGTTCGAACCGGCGTAATGAGACTAAGTTCATTTTAAAAATGTGTTTCTTTTTTAAAGAAGCTGAAACGTATTAAAAAATAAAATAAAAAATAAAAATTTATGTTTATTAAACAATTTTTTAGCAGACTGAAATGAAATCAACGGTGATGTCATCATCCCCCAGGTGCACAATTATTATTATTTTTCAACACAGATAAACAAACTCAAAAGGGGAATTCTACTCGCCTCTTAATCAATGAGTTTATATTGTGTGTGATAAGTATTCGTTTTTCCTTGGAATGCATCTACCATAATAAAACCGGGGAGAATACTAATATTTATTTTTCTTTTTCTCTTTACTCCTCACTGTAAATATAATGAATAAAGAAAAAAGGAATCAATATGATCTGTATAGTTTGTTTCCTGCTAATATTAGTTTGTCAAATATCTCTCTTCCGCTTTTTTGTCTTTTGAATTTCGCGGCTATGTGCAAAGCGCTACAGAGCTCGTACCTGGCAACATTATACATAATTTGAAAGGTCTTGACATAACCTACAAAACAACGTTATGCATGATTAGTTTGGATATTGCGTTCAACAGTTGTAGACGTGTAAACACGGAGTTCACTAACGCCGAAATTCGCCCTATTTTAAAGTTTTCCTTCGTTAAAGGAAAATCCGCTAGAGAAACATTCCGTGAGATTAATGGTGTTTTGGGGGATGGTACTATATCACTTAAATGGTTTCGACGATTCGGAGCCGGTGAAAACGACACCACGGATAAGCCAGCCGGCGGAAGACCTGTGACGACAAATACCGATCAAAACATGAAATAAATCGAGTTAGACCGGCATATGGCATCTCGTGACAGCGCCAGGAGATGAGAGCTAGTCACCAAACCATTTTGAACCATCTGCAGAAGGCTGGATACAAAAAAAAGTTTGATGCTTGGGTGCCGCATAATTTGACGCAAAAAAACCTTCTGGACCGAATCAACGCCTGTGATATGCTGCTGAAACGGAACGAACTCGACCCATTCTTGAAGCGGATGGTGGCTGGCGGCGAAGAATGGATCACATACGACAATATCAAGCGAAAACGGTCGTGGTCGAAGGCCGGTGAATCGTCCCAAACAGTGGCCAAGCCGGGATTGACGGCCAGGAAGGTTTTGCTGTGTGTTTGGTGGGATTGGAAGGGAATCATCCACTATGAGCTGCTCCCATATGGCCAGACGCTTAATTCTACCATCTACTGCGAACAACTGGACCGCTTGAAGCAGGCGATCGACCAGAAGCGTCCAGAATTGGCCAACAGGAAGGGTGTAGTGTTCCACCAGGACAACGCCAGACCAGCTACGGAAGCTCGGATGGGAGGTTTAATCGCATCCACCATATAACCCGGACGTAGCGCCAAGTGATTACCACCTGTTCCTGTCCATGGCGAATGCCCTTGGTGGTGTGAAGTTGAACTCAAAAGAGGCTTGTGAAAAGTGGCTGTCCGAATTCTTCGCAAATAAGGAGGGGGGCTTCTACGAGGAAGGTATTATGAAGTTGCCGTCTAGATGGAAACAGATCATCGAACAAAACGGCGCATATTTTAACTAAAATTGAATGAAGAGCAAAAAAGCGGAAGGGAGATATTTGACAACCTTATATAATCAAAAAGCTAGCTTTGCACCAAATTTCAAGTAAATCGGAATCATAAATGCAATTTACTCGAATAGGTCGATCCCGGAATTTTTTTACAACAAAATTTCACGGAACGAAAAGTAACATATTGACGAGTAGTATAATCTGCATGCTGGTTTCGGAGCTTATAGAAAACGAGCATGAAAACAAAGTTTTTTACATCTGTAAAGTGGGATAAATTGAACTCTTCTTGGGTTTTCCTGTGTTAAGATATATAAATTGTAACTGTAACAATATAGGTATAATGAGAAGCGGTATATGTTATCACAGCTAAAATTGTGCAAACCACTTTCTCCAACTGCCTATTGTGTAATATTCAAAGATGTGTCAGGAGTAATGTTCTTTTTCAATACACCCGAAATGTCGATAACAAATTAGCAATTTCTGTCGCATTTAGTTTCAATTTATGTTCCAAAACTGTACTGTTTCGATATTCGAAACGAAAAATAATTTATTTTGGTGTTATAAAATCCAATATTATCGGGTTTATACTCAAACCGGAATTAGTGGCGGAATTAAAAATTTTTGTTTGTTGTTATATGGAAGTATATGTTCTGCTTTATTAAATAAATACTTTATTAAATAAATACTAAGAGGTTGTTTGCTATAAATCGCTTGGTAATTCATCTCTGTTGCTTTCACCTCACTTCACTTGCAACATCTCGTTTTCGGTGAGGTTTCTGTAAATTTCTCCATGTTCTCTATCCAATGGAGCGAAGCTCTGAATATTCATTAGAGTTGAAGCAATTGTTATTGTACTTACATGAAGGCGTAACGATAGATTGCACGTAAAAACTTTTAAATCGTTTCGGCTGAAATATTTGAAAACGTTATGGTTAAAGCAGTATAAATTTTATGTCATTTCTACCCGAAACAAAAAGCTATTGTTACTGTTAAACATTAAAATTGTAGGTGCTTTTAAAACATAGCAAGCAACCATTTTAAAGCTTAAGTTAACGCTGAGTTTGTGTAGTTTTAAGATTAACAATTTCTTTTCGTTTCAATAACATGGCGCCGAAACGAAACGACATCATTTCGTTAATTTTATTTTTCTATCAGCTGTATTCGTTGAGAAATGTCAGTAAAAATTAGCCAGTAAGGAAATTGAGAGAGTAAGATGTCTTACTTTCCCAAAGGAATTAAATTACTGACTTTTCTTCGATCAGGATCCAGTAACAATTAGCCACAGCTGCTTATTTTGTCGATTAAATTTGAATCCGTTCATTTATACAGTTATTTTCTGCTCTTAAGTATTTTAAGTAATTTATATGTCATTTTAAAAACATTGGTTGTATTTAAAATTTGTATTTCAACAATGATGAAATTCGACATGCTTTATAGCCGTCCAACGGTGGAAAAGATACCAACTTGTCTATTAGTCCAGGTCTATAGTCAGGAAGGATAACTTAAATACGAAAATCAGTTTGAAATTCTTTTCCCGTGTGAGCCGGTCATACTATCTCATCAATATTATAGAGTTAATTCGTTTATGTTCGAATAAAAACCTAGAAAGAGCTTTATTTTTCCTTCTAAACGATACTAGTATTTCATCGTTTCCGGAAGCTTAAGAATGCATGAACGTTACTAACCGTTGCAACAGCCTTGCAATATTTTGCGGCTCATTTGGTCGACATTGATTTCTAGTAAATTTCAGGAATCCAAAATCGATTTGCATTGTACAAAAAAATTTTTTAATAATAATTATTTGCCTACAAAATTCCCAATTCCTAATTCTTCGACGTGGGCTCGGTGGTATGCTCATCGAATAATTGGGCAAATTAGGCAATTTTGTGGGCAAATAATATTTTGTGCAATGCAAAATGATTTTGGATTCCTGGAATTTACTGGCGATGATTCTACTCCACGATACTTTCTTCTTCCAATAACATAAATTGCTCTGTTATATTAAATATTTTAATTAATGTAAATTAAAATTGCCAGCATACGTGTTTCTACAAATATGCGTAACATTTGATATTTTTTCTTCATGCTCGAAAAGCACAAAACTATAAAAAATCGTTATCGGTATGTAATTCCGAGAAACAACTACTGAATTTCTGATATTTCTTCTTCAGGGTTTGATTTCCTCCATACTGTTCCATATATTTTTCCTCCGCTTCTTGTCTTAATTCCTAGAGAAAACCACTGTTAATAAAATGGTTCCATATAAATACATTTGTATATTTGTAAAAAGTTAATAAAACTTTATCGCTGAAATCACTAATAAATTTATTCACCTCAGAGTTTTATGATATCAAATTTGAAAAAGAGCAAGTAAAGAAAACGAAATGTTATCAATAAGTGGGTACTAAAAATTACGAATGGTATTCGATTACCTAGCAGACTTAATTTTTTTTAACTCGAACTCGAACCGAATCCGCTTTCTTTGATAATACTTGCTATCTTGACAATATATTGCCACATCGAATAATTCTTAAAATTAAGGATCGTAGGTGTAAAAATCCGACGTAATAAAGTTCCTTCTGCGTATGTTAAAAAAATGCAATGCTTATTTTTTACTTTAATATTATTAGCTTGTTTATTGAATTTTAACCAAAATTTTCTTTTAATATGAAGCCTGTAATAAACATTGAGGCCAAAACTTTTTAACAAACCATTGGTGGTAATATGTGACTATTTTTATAAGGCCACTAGATTGGAGAATTTTGATAAAGAAATTCTAAAAATTAATATTAAAAAAATAATATTTATTTTGTACTTTACACGATACCCAAGTTTCTTATATTCAAAAGGGGTCAGGTTCCAATGCATAATGTAAAATATTTTCAAACACTTTATTTGACTGCAATTCTTTGTGAATTCATTATTTTTTCATATATCACCTGAGATATTGAGAGGAGAATTGCACCCCATTTCTCCCAGCTGGATCCGTACCTGGTAAATTTCGAGAGAAGATTCTATAAAAAAAATACATTGCACCTTATGCTATTGCACCTGGTGCTATAATGATATACTTACATATATATGTGCTTGCATGTTTTTATTGATATTTATTGTACCAACTAATTAAAAAATTAGAGCTGTATTAAAATAAAAAATATTTATATACATATGTACATAATTATATATATCTTTTTAATTAATTTTCCATCATCTATTTACTTCATTTCAGTCGAGTCACCTTACCATTAACTGTGGAAGAGGTTAGTAAATTAATTTAAAATGCTTATTTTATTAAATAAAGATAAGTTAGCAATGTTCACAAGTACAGTCCATGTCATAACTATATCACCACCGTTTTGGTGTTAATTCTGTAGAAAAATACGAAATCAAGCGGTTTCTCAACTATACCAGAACCTCAAATAATTTAGTAGATGCCAAAGCCTTCATACTTTTTATGACCATATCAAAGTTATGGTATTTAATTTTAGGATTAAATATTAATTCTCATATCTTCGATAATTTCGATAATTTTTGATGTGAATATTGATTTGTATATACATACATACGTGTGAAGGATATCAAATTTCACGCTTCAGAATTTTGATCAAATCCTAAAATCTGAACAAATGGGTTTGTCGGTTATATGACATAGTCCTCCGATTTCGATGATTTTCGGTAAAAACGCTAATGAGTTTTTTAAAGTCGATAACAACAATTTATATAATAATTATAAAATAAATTTTTGAAGATCCTCGGACAGAATTTTATAGGTGTCCTAATAACGTCGATTATTTCCCTTGAGGTTGGTGTTAGGTTAAGTTTTTATAAATTAAAAAGAAATCACTCCGAAAGATTTTCATTGCATATTGCTAACTATTGCACTAAAAACAAACTGGGTTACCAAATATAGACTTGAATGATTCTTAAATTCGATATGAATTTTACAATCACTCAGTTTCTGATGAGAAATATCCTTAAGAAACATTTGTTAATCGCAAGCTTTACTCACCAGCTTCTTTTGTGCCTTTAACAAAATTTTCATTATTTATTTTGCGTTTAATTTATAAACTTTTCTATCAGCTATAAATAATAATTTTTCCTATATAGTATCAAGTTGCACAACTTTATTCAGTTGCTGAGGCATCGAAGAATGAGACGGGTGGCGGCGAAGGTATAGAAGTGCTGAAAAATGAACCATTCGATAATTATCCCCTATTGGGTGAGTACACATTATTACACCAAAACTGCTAACAGCGGTGCGTTCTTAAATTACATTCATCAATTAATTCTGGCTTTGCAGGTGGTAAATACAATGCCGGTCAGTATACATATAAAATATATCATTTGGCATCAAAAGTTCCAGCATTTATAAGACTGTTGGCGCCAAAGGGTTCCTTAGAAATACATGAAGAGGCATGGAATGCTTATCCGTATTGCAGAACGGTTATAACGGTATGTAATATGGGCAATATACATATAATATATGCGACGATTTGTGGCTAAGGAGTAGGGGGTTTTTAAATTGAATAGGTTTCAATTGATGAAGAGTTGAACAGGATTTTAATAAAAAAAATACTTATTTTGATGAATTTGTGAGCCGTAAGACCAATATCAATAAAGTAATTTGAAGAAGTTCTTTAAAATTGAATTCATACCACAGAGGAGACAGTAGAAGTGTTAGCTGTATCAAAGATCCTCACAGTCCCTAACTTCTTGTAGCAGGGATCTAACCACGGAACATGACTTTACAGGCGATTCTAACCAACGCGCTGACGTCAGTCATATTATCTATAAAATTTATTATTTCTAATTAATTTTTGAACTTTATTTAATAAAGCAGTAACCCCGAATTTTTGCACTATTGCGTTCTATATCTTCAGCAAATACACATATTTTTTTAAAAAGCTAGATAATTTATTTGCCCCACATTGAATTTACTTGAGGTTGAAGACCCACCGGGCGCGTGGTGGATATTTTTTGAGGAGAATGTGTGAAATACCATCGGTCGGCTTCACATTCTGTGGTGTGGGGCGACCGCAGTTAGAAATAATAAGTTTTCTATAATTTTTGCTAGTATTAGAACCCATGGCCTTCCGAACCTGGCTACTGTTGCAGTGGCATAGTAAGGGGATCAAGAATTTGCATTTGCATTTGCTTTGCGCTGCGCTAGGTAGGACTGCGTTATGTAGGTCTAGCGGCAGGAATTATTCAAAAATCAATATTGAAGAGAGGAAACAGATTATTCCTTCGGAGAATATATTTAAATTTAATCTTTTTTTCATATTTTTATTTTATTTCAGTTTTAAAAGTTGTTTTATTTATTGTAATATAGTTTATTGTATATTTTTCAATGATATATAATGCAATCTAATTCACTTTAGAATCCTAAATTTATGAAAGATGGCTTTAGAATTACCATAGATTCATTGCACGTGCCGAACGATTCGGGCGATTTACCAAATGTAAGTTTTATTTTTAACATAATTTTGCTAATGCGTTTTTTCTTCTTTCTCTCTCTTTTTCCAAAATTTTATATGTTTAATATGTGCGTATTATGGTTTATATGTTTAATTAATCTAACGAATATGATCAACACGATTGGGTTATATGTCTGGTCTTTTGGTGATGGTGAATTTATAAAAACTGCCTTTTCTTTCAATCGCGTCAAATAAAATTGTATTTTAAATTGTGCTGACTAATAACGGTGTTGGATTCATATGTTTAAAAACTCGTAAACGTGAACGCAACTAACAATAATAACAAAATGCTAATTCTGCAAAAAATATATGCGCTACGTTACGTTTTGCGTATTGACCGCTGAACGACGTACGCTCTTCATCTGACAACAAATTTCTGCTATAAATGCTCCGCGTGTCCGAAGCTGTTATTCTATGGCATCAAATTAACAATCAACAAAACTACCCAATTGCCAATTGCAAAAACTAAAAACCGAAACTCATCAACAACAAATATGGAATTTTGATAATAAAATGAAATAAGTGAATTTGCAATAATCGAATAAAAATGTGAACAATTTCACTTGTTGACTGAATATTGGCTGTATGCATGTGTGCGTGTGAATAAATATGCGATTTTGGTTTGCCATAAAAAAATGGAAATGTTATTGAATATGAAAAATGAAATCGACACTCGCAATGACAATCGTATAATAAATAACAACAACAATAATTATTAAAATGCAAATCTTAAAAATTCAACTGAAACTACACATGCATATGCGAACATTTTATAAACTCTTAAAATGCATATATATGTATTTGTTCGCGCGTATGATGCATATCGGTATATTGACGAAAAATGAAACTACAGAATCCCGGTTATATGAAAGAGAACTTTGTAATTTGCATTGAATCGCTTCATGTCGGCGACATCGGAGATCAGAATAATGTGAGTGCCATTTGGTTTACTTACATGGTACCTCCACAAGTGCACATGCAAAAATTATTTACACAGCAGTACACTATATTCTATGTATATTTACATACTGTGCTCATATGTACCACACTGCACTTCAGTTTGCTGTTTAATGCGATTGTATGGCGTCTCCTGTATTTCTTCTAAATCCTTTTAATTTTATTTTATTTAGCCCTTTTTTCAAATTTCTAACAACCTTCCTTCGTAGCTTTTGTTAGTATACATTACCATATACATAAAGGCTGCTTTATCTGTTATGTCGGTATGTAAATGCTGAATAACTTTTACATTTACCAACTGAACGATTGTATCAGATATATTTCGGAAACGTCAATTCAGTACTATTTTTGCAATGGATCGTTTCTCACCGAAACAACGCGCTGAAATAGTGATTTGCGCAAAAACCATCATTGGGTCATATTTTTTTTTTTTAAGAAAACGAAACTGTCGATGGAAATCGATATCGGTAGATGCTGGATCATTATATCTGCCTATGGGTTATCTGAAAGGCAAGGTTTACGCCAACCAACCTCGACCTATTGATGCGCTCAAGCAGAAAAAAGGAATCATTTTGTAATTGTCAATGAAGGTAGCCACTTGATTGACATTGCTTTCAAAAACTAGTCCAAAAAAATTGTAAGGAACCAAACTGAATAAATATACATCACTTATAGAAATCGGTTGTTTTTTTTTTCTAAAAGTTATTCAATGTGTACATACCGACATAAAAAATGGAGCACCCTGTACATATATGTTTAATAACACGCATGTCCTTGTATTTATTAATTTTAATTGTAATAATATTTGTATTTTTGTGTTGAATTGATTTTTGAGAATTTTAGTATTTGCAGTAACTCAAATTGGTGAATTTAATAAATCAAAGATTTATATTTCGTTTGAGTTCAACTCTTGTTTTCCTTTACACTTTGAAATTATACATAAAGTTCGACTTAAATATTCATTCATAATATTATATATGTATGTATATTATTTATATAGATAATTACATTACGAAATTTATTTGCTTACTAGAGAGGATATGAATTTTCACTTTTATGTTTGGAAGGCCTACAGGTGTAAGATGTACTGATGGCCCCTAGGCAAATCGGCACAACTTGATATATGCAAGTGCATTCGTACATATACATACATATATGTGTTATATACTCATTTTGAGTTTTGCAAAAACCAAAGTTCAAACATTTGAAGCAGACAATTTTCGTTGCAACGCATTCATGTCACACGCACTTTAGGACGTCAAAGGATTGATTTGTTTTGATTTGGAAAAGAGAGATTGTAAAAGATATTATTTATTTTATTTATTACACAATATTTGTTTTAATTTTTATGCACAATTTGTTACACATATATATAATATTGAATTATTAAAACTCAATTAGTTTAATCCTGCATGCTAAAAAATGAAAAACTATTGAAACACTATATTTTTAGTAACAATACATACATTTATTATTAATAATTTCAAATATTTACACATAATAGGTGCATGAGCTGCCACCTGAAAAACTTAAAACACGCGAAGTTGTTCATATCGACATTGCGAATGATACCGTCTTGCCTGCCGATTACAAACCCACTGAGGATCCAACAAAGTGAGTATATTTTATTTGAATTTATTTGAATTTATTACGACAGAAGTTGTAAAAAATCAGTGGATTTCATGGCCGTAAAAGCAGTCAGAACTTCATTATCTATTATTTTCTTATTTTGATAGTCAAAGAAACGTTTATCTTAAAAGATTGAAAGTAAACGTTGTCCAGATCAATACGATCTATCTCCGACGATAAAAAATCAGTAATCAATCATTTCCGAAAAAATAAGGACCAATTACCCTCCAGGACTATAAACCGCACCAAATCAGTCAAACGTTGGAGGAGAGGTTTTTCAACAATAATTCTTGCATTTTTGCTTATTGATGTAGCCATGGAGGTGGAAATGGGCGTCATCAGTCAACATGATTTTTAGAGTGAAATTCAATGCCTTGTTGAAACGTGTATTCCATTTTATTACTGGCGTAGTTTTTACTTTTAAAAAAATTATATCTTCAAAAATTACATCTACCGGAACATTCAAGATAACACCTCATTTTTTGGAAAGCCATTTGTAAAATTGCTGTAAACTGCGATCTTAGCCTTCAATCATTTATATACAATTTCTAAGCTTTATAAAATTCAGTTCATCTCAGCAGTTCTTGTTTTAAAGTATTATAAGTTTAATAATTAATACAAATAAAAGTAGGTTTTATAAAATTATCTAAATTTGCTTTTATTTTTTTTTTCATAGATTTAAGTCGGAGAAAACTGGTCGTGGTCCGCTGGTGGGTCCAAACTGGAAGAAAAATGTCGATCCAGTGATGACATGCTACAAACTTGTGACATGCGAATTTAAATGGTTCGGCTTGCAGACAAGAATAGAAAATTTCATACAAAAGTCAGAGCGACGACTATTCACGAACTTCCATCGGTAAGTAGTTAAGAAATAAAAACATATTTATGTTAGGTAAAAAAAAAGCAAATCTGCATACTAATTAAATTTAACAGTTTTGAAATTCGATCCCCTATTTAGGCTAAAATTATGTTTTCTCTTAGTTTTTTTTTTCAGCTAAAGCTTAGAAAACCTGCAATTCAGTGTCTTTGAATGTGCTATCAATTTCTTTAGTCAAAACAAACTAAATTTATATTAATAAATTATAAATAAATAATAAATTATAAATAATATTGTTTTAGTAATAGCGCTGCGATTAATCTTTTAAAAATCTCTGTTTTTTTATAATAGTCTTCATCTTCTAAATGGTTTACTGTGAACTAATTTCAAATAAATTTATTAAATATGGTGCACTCTCTTTATTTTGTTGCATTACAGTCAAGTTTTCTGTTGGATGGATCGCTGGCACGGTCTGACAATGGAAGACATCCGTGCCATTGAGGAGAAAGTCAAAGAGGAGCTTGATCGGCAGCGACAGGTGGGCGAAGTGCGGGGCATGCGTGCCGATAGTGATTAAACGAATTAGAAAAGGGCGTTTAGACAGGTTTATGACAAAAGCAACAACAACAAAACAACACCAAACCTTCAACAACAAAACAACACCAAACCTTCAACAACAACAAAGCAACAACAAAGCAACATATACAAATATAAACATCAAACGTAGCAACCGCAATAGCAATAACAATAGAAGACAGACATCAATCACAGCGACTCTCTCATTTGCAATTGGAATTTTCGTAAACTCTTATTTACTGCTGCTTAGATTGAACTACAAAGCTATTATTGAGAAATGAAGCTAAAAAGTACAGCGATGGGAATACGAAGTGTAGTGTTACAAAATTTGGTATCATTACAATTTTTTCGGTTATTATATATATCACTAAAAGGATTATAACACTTGTACATATATTTGATTACCAATATTCGCCACAACAATCACATGACACGAAAAACTCAATGTAAACAAAAACAAAGTATGTTTTGTTTCATTTTAAGTTATACGAGAATAACTTATTCCATATTTTGTTCAAGAAAATATTTTTAGTTTAGCTAAGCAACAAAAAAAAAAATATGTAAAACTTAAAGCAAACTAACCAACAGAAATACACTTTTTAAATGTAAAAAGATAAAGAAAACAATAGATATTTCAAGTTAAGGGCAAATACCATTTAAATGAAACGAAAGAAAATTTATATAAATAACAGAATTAAAAAAATGCAATAGTTAATTTTTAAATACATAATAATAAGTATAATTCATAAATTTAATGCGTTTATATAAAATACTATTCATATATGTATTTCAAAGATAAAATAAAACAAGTATAATTACTTAAAGTTATAGAATAACAAAAATGATTAATACAAATTACACACCAGTTTTCGAAACCCGAAATGAAAGATTACATTATGCAGCTAAGCATACTACCACCCTCCTCCCATCCAAAACAAGTTCAACAGCACACAATAACAATCCAACTATTGTTGCAAACTCAAAAATAGGATAGAATAAATTGATTAATTGATTGAAATGATAAATGAAAAAGCGGCAAAGCAAGAATGCAAAAACAATAAAAAAGTAGAAACCAATAGAGCATAAAAGCATTGGCAGTACCCGAAATGGGTATTTTTTAGAGAAACCTTGCGAAGTCAGACGAGAGCAATGGTCGCAGCAGGGAAGTCTTAAATTTAAACTTAAATAAATCATTCAAATTCTTCAAACTCCATTTAAATTTAAAGTGAAAACACAAAAACGTATATATATATATATTAGAAAAAAGAAATTATAATGCTAAAAAATGTTATTTAATTGTATGAACATATGCTTATATTTGCGATAAAATCTTATATACATATATAAAAAAAAATAAAAAAATAAGTGAAAAAATTGATAAAGTATAAAAATAAGAAAAGCCTAAAAGAGAAAAGCAAAATATATAAATAAAAAATAATAGCAAACAAATTCGTAAATGTATTTTCGTTAGGGTAGGGCATGTACCACATATGCATGTACATACATATATCCCATATGCTGACGGATTAGGTCGTGAATATAGTAGTAAATTATTTAGTTTATATTATAAAAAAACTTTATTAGTTAACTCAATTTTGCTGGCGAAGTAATTTTTACATTTAAATTAATTTGTAGAAAGAAAACACCTAAAAGATTTCAATGATACCAGCACCAAGAAGTTGATTTACAGGAAAGTAAAGTTATTAACGTAGCATTTTCCAAAAAGGCAAAATAAACTAAAAACTATATTAAGTAGTTTCTGTATATAAACTCGTATATGTATGTACGAGGGGATTAACGAAAGTTCGGTAAGTTGACCAGAAAAAAATTCTTTTTGTATTTATTCGTAATCTTGGTCCTTTTTTATCTGCTCTAAATAATCGACTTTGATTTCAATGCACTTCTTAAGCCTAAAAATTTACTTCTAAAAACAGTCTTCAAAATCTTGCTGTTTAAGCTTATAAAGTTCAGTATTAACCCCATTAAATATCTCCTCGTTACTATTAAAGACCTTTCCTTTTAAATTCTTTTTAATTTCTGAAAACAACCTGGAATTACAAGGTGCTATATCCGGGGAATATGGTGCTGGACGTTTTTCTTCGTTCCCAAAGATCGATATAAAATTACTCGCTATGTCAGCAGTGTGTGATGGCGCGTTGTCATTATGTAAAAAGTCCTTTTCTTTCTGTTTTCCAAAAAAAATTTAAAAAGTTTTGCTAAGCACTTTTCGGTGTACCTTTTTACAGTTTCCGTCTGATCCTTTTCCAGTGGAATAGCAACTACGTTTTTAGACCGGGTGAAGTAACTGACACCATTACGGGTGGGTTTGTTCCTGTTGGGCTCCATACCATGGATTGCTGTTTGGTTTCTGGTTCGTACTTATAGAGCCAAGATTCGTCACCAGTAACGACTTTACTAAAGTTGTTAGACCATTTTTAAATTTGTATAGGAAAAATTGAGTAAATGCACTCGAGCCTCTTTTTGGACCAAATTGAAAATTCATGGCTCTTCAGCAGATTTCTTGGTGTATCCCATATGATTACTTAATACTCGCGATATAGCCATGACATTCAAGCCCAATTCATTAGCAATCATTTCTCGTGGCAATCGTGGCTCTTCGTCAATTGTAGATTTCACCACAGCGTCATCAGGGGAAGATTTTGTTCGACCGTCTCGAAGCTCGTCCTCTACGGAAAAATATCCGATCTGGAAAATTCGGAACTACTTAGAAATAGTGTTTACAGACGATGAAATCGGTCTTTATGTAGGTTGCCATTCACTGATTATTTGTATTGACTGTAAATTTCGCCGAATTTCTGTTTGCATTGGTGTTGGAATTTCGTCTGACCTATCCTTAGCCATATTGCGTTTTCTCATCACCATTTAGCCGATCGTTCTAAAAGTTGAAAGGAAATCGAACAAAACAATAGCAAACGATTTGGTGTTTTTAGATTAGAACTTTTCTTAACTCCCGTGTATATATATGTACATATAACTGGCATTAATTCTCGACCGAGCACCTCTAATTTGTGGCGTGCGTCTTGATGTTTGCCCAACAAATATGGAGCCGGATCCGAACGGCCGATAGATTTTTATGAGGACCTCTGATTTTCATATATTTGTTTATTTAAAGTAATTTTCTATTATTTTTGGATCTTGGTCGGACCCGAGCTTGGAAAATAGGCCCTCCGAATGACAGCACTCAATACAAGTCGAGTATAGATATTTAAAGTTTCTCTGGAAATTTTGATAAGTTGATAAATTGCAACTTGCATTGCTTCTTACAAGATTTTAAAAGCTTTAATTAAGATATTGGTACTCGTGAGTCAATTTTTTAAAGGACTCGTCCGGATTTTATCAATCTTCCCATCTGCGTGAGTTTTAAGGTGTCACACTTTATTAATTAAATATTTTTGCTTTCTTTATTTACTAAAATAGCAGCAGATACATTTTAAACTTTGTCGAAATTTTCTATTTAGCGTCTAATTCTTAATCGAACAGACTACTGCTTTTGATGGTGTGGCGAAGCATGGAAAAACTGCTAAAAATAAACTTACTGTTCGTTCGATCTTAATTTCTTTAGTGATTAAAAAAAATTTTGAAATAATTTAATACAGGTCCATGTGGAAGGTGCAAAACAGTAAATAAAAATTGAAGCCAGTCAGGGAAATCCAAATTCCAGTTCGCAATAATCCTAACCTAAATTTGGGTAATACATTTTTGAACATTCGGAAGCTTGAATAGTAATTCAGTGCCAAATTGTAGCGGAAGTTTGAAGTATTCGGATGCGCTAAAGGAAAATCGAGAGAATGCTGTTGTTTGGGATTAAAAAGGCATAACTATTCGTTTTTTTAGTTTGCTTATTGATTAGGTTACCATCAGGTTACACGAGCACATTTTCTTTTTTATGTTAAATCTTAACTTCATATGAAAATAGAAATTCAAAACCTTTATTAACACTTAGTAGAAGATCTTTGCGGATGAAACTTAGCCACAATTGACTTTTAAGCTAAAGTAAAAAAGCAGTAAATACATTTAAAATAACTGACCAAAGATAAAGCATGTTTTGAAACATAGGAAACAACACCACAGTGATGAAATTAAATTAGTAACTGTATATTAAGGAGAAATTAGCGAATATAAATATATATATGTATATGTAAATGAACAAAATTATTATGGAAAATAAATTTGCTCTAATTTTTTTTTCGTCATAAATCTAGATGTTTGTCCAAAGCTCTTGAGAATATTTCGATGAAAGGTAACAAAGCAATTTATTAATGAGTTCAGAGCAGTATAAATATGTACGTATATACGAGTACATACATATGTATGTATGTACCTACAAAAGTTTCAAACATCAAATCAGATTAAATGCCACAAGTAATGTTTATTTGTTGCATGCACACAAACACTTGCAAATATAACTGAGCTAGTAAGCTTTTAATACGCGCTGGTCACGTGTCTACTTGTACATTTTCGAAAACAAATCCTTTATCGTCCTTCGTTGTTTATTTTAGAGAGTTAATTAAGTGATAATTGAAAGAAAAAATAGTTGCAAAAAGTATAATTAAACTATATATAATGTAAAAATTTAAATAAACAAATAAAAATTAAATACGAAATATTCTACTTTCAATATGTGTGACTTATTTATTAATTTGTGAGAGTTTGGCGATATTTCCAAAATGCATTCAATATTATTGAACTGGATTTCTTTCATGCATTGGAATATTAAACATAATATTTATGAACGAATTTCGTTTGGTATAGCTGTGTTCGTTGAGAAATATCAGTGAAAATTACCCAGTAACGAAATTGAGAGAGTGAGATGTTTACTCTCCCAAACAAAGAAATTTACTGAGTTTTCAACGAACAGAAATCAGTAAAAATTAGGCATCCAGTTGTATAACAGTTTCTTTTGGAGGTTACATTTTAATCTTTCCATTTATAAAGCATATTATTTCTGGTTTTAAGTATTTTCCTAAAAGTTTTAATAAAATTGGCAATTATGTGACTTTAAATTTATTAATTGTATTAAAAAATTTATTGTATTTCAACAATGATGAAGTTCTACATGCTCTATATCCGTCCAACGATCAAGATATCGATATGTTTTTTCTAATAGTCCTCTAAAAGGTCGAAAATTTATGTCAAACTTGTTTTGCAACAATTTGTCGCTTAGATTTTCAGTAAGGATGGCTGAAATACGAAAATCAGTTTCAAATTATTTTTCCGTGTAAGCCGGCCATATTAGCTCAATATAATTATAGAATTTATTCGATTCTGTTTAAACATTAAGAATGCAAGAGCTTTATTTTCTTTTTTAAACTCGATTAATATTGGGTTGCCCAAAAAGTAATTGCGGATTTTTTAAAAAAAAGTAAATGCATTTTTAATAAAACTTAGAATGAACTTTAATCAAATATATAATTACGATTTTGTTCTATAACCTTTCGCCATCTTCCTGGCAAACTTAGCATTCCACGCTCATAGAACTTCTGGCCTTTATCTGCAAAAAACTGAACCAAAAGCGATTTTATAGCCTCATCATTGCCGAAAGTTTTACCATTTAAGGAGTTCTGCAAAGATCGAAATAAATGGTAGACTGATGGTGCAGTCAGGGCTATATGGTGGATGCATCAAAAGTTCCCAGCCAAGCTCACTCAGTTTTTGGCGAGTGACCAAAGATGTGTGCGGTCTAGCGTTGCCCTGGTGGAATATGACACCTTTACGATTGACCAATTCTGGTCGCTTCTCCTTGATGGCTGTATTCAATTTGTCCAATTGTTGACAGTAAACATCCGAATTAATCGTTTGGTTCTTTGGAAGCAGCTCAAAATATACGACACCCTTCCAATCCCACCAAACAGACAGCATAACCTTCACAAGCCGTTGAAAAAATTTGTCAACGCCGACTATATGAAAAATCCGCAATTACTTTTTTGGCAACCCAATATTTAATTTTCTGCATCGTCCGCGGTCCCGGAAGCTTAAGAGTGCATAATCGTCACTGACCCTTGCAACAACCTTGCTTTCCAATGCTTTGCGGTTCATTTCGTCGATACGTGCTTTCTAGTAAATTTAAGGAATCCAAAATCAATTTATGTTGTACAACAAATTAGCGACAAAATTTCTAATTCCTAATTCTTCAACGGGAGCTCGTTAGTATGCGGGCCTAGTGTAATGGCCTAAAAAAATGTGATTTTTGGGAATTTAAAAAAGAAAGTACTTTATCAATTATTTCAAAATTTCAAAAAATTTACAGTGAAATTTTTGAAGAAAAAACGTCCTTCACTGCTGCAGTGATTCCGGACTTTTCCGTGGATGAGTTCTAAAAAAAAAATCTCTATAAGATAATATAGAACATGTAAAAAAATTCGAAAGTGATCGGAGCATTTGTGTTTGAATAATCACTGCAGCAAATTCGGAAAATGCTGTTTCGAGAAAAACGCGTTTAAAGATAAAATGATCGTTTTCACTCGTAGCTAATGAGACTCTCTAGCTGCCGAGCGGCTGCTCTTTAAATTGCTATAACTCAAAAGCTATTTGAGAAATCGATTTGAAATTTTAATAAATATGAAAAAAAGATCAATTTTTTTTTGAAATTTCACACTAGGTGTGCCCCTTAATGAGTGACTTAACTAATTAATTGAATCGTGGATACCATTAAATTTGATTAGTAAAATTATATTTGGACATTTATTTTATTAGTATATCATCAATATAAACGTGTTCATAATATTTTAATTTCAAATTAATTTTTTTTTTGACAATATTCAATCATATTTATGTATGGTCACAAATCTGTTATGTCATATACTTGCTAGTTTTTACTGGTTGAAATTTTCCTTGCGTGAATTTGCTTTTCTCCCTAAACTAAATGTCAAAATTACGCTCTCTCGTTACTTACTGGGTTTTTGGCTAAACGAACACGATTTAGTGAAGTTCAGTAAATATTGTTACTGCCCATTTGATCAACGAACAGAACTATTATGAGACACATTCCGTGGTGCCAAAAGGACTTGACATCAGCAAACTTAACTGTCAAATCAAAGTTGTTTTGTTTTCGTTAAAAGTTAAGTACTTGTGAAAATGGATTGCTTAACAACCACTATAATCGTGCTATAATCGTCCAACTACTCAACTGTGCATTATCACTCTCCTCGTTCCACCTCAAATATCGCTACTGTAAGTGAAAGTGTAGCCGAAGACCCGTACGACACATTTTGGCGTATTTTGCACTTGGACTTACATCTACATCCAACAACTGAAGCTAACTGAACACTCATAACGCCGTACATCTGCAACAAACAAGGAACACCGATTTTTCGACCAAAATTATCTTCAGCGTCTGAGGGATAGGTAAATCAGCAAAATTTTCGCATTTCGGGCTCCGAGAATCCTTAGATAATTAAAAAGAGGACATTACACCGAAAAAAAACTTACTGTTTGGTGGTCTATTTCTGGCGCTCTATTTCCGGTGCTCTATTTCCGGAGGTGGGATTGGACCTTATTTCTTTGAAAACCACATTGATAAATTTCTCGGCCTCATTATCTCTCGCCTTGATGATGTTGATGTTCAAACAATCCGAGAAAGCGATGTTGTGCCACACCTTAATGTACAAGAACTCAGTAGGCATGATGCAGCTATAAGAATAACAATGTCTTAACGGAATCGTTAAAAGTAGGCTAGGCAAAGAGAAATTGCAGAGACCAATCCATTTCGACATCTTTCAGATATTTTCTACGGCAGTTTATGTTGGATATTTAGGCTTATTGTGTGTATGGGTATAGCAAGAGGATTTCCGAGAACACTATTGATTTGTGTTAACACAAATGATGTGAGCTCCATCTATTGAGAGAGGACCTGAGCCTGCCGGTTCTAACCCTATTACCTTCATATCCACCAGTTAATAATTTCCGCCTGGATTCAGTTTACATATGTACATGCTAGCCCCCTTACGGTTGACTATATTTGCTAAGTAAAAATTATGATTTCGAAGCCTGGATCTGAGCTTGGTAGTATGTTAGTTTTCCTAACCCTGCTTATGCTTACTGCTTCTTGTTTTGGTGTTAGCCCACCCAAGACCCAGTGTTTTTAAGTGGATCACATTTACTTTCACACAACGATTTTTACAAAATTCTTATTTAATTTTTTTGGTATAAGTAAGGCATTTTACACAGGTTCTCGGGATACAATTCACCAGGAACTGAACGAAAGATTTTATTTTTTTCAATCAAAACTATTTAAAGGAAACCTTCAGTAAATTTTACCAAAATTTGTAATTTTTGTAAAAAAAATTGCCAAATCTTCAATATTCACTTTTTGTTTTCCTTCGCCCAAAGGTTTTTTTTTTCAAACTAATACCTTTAACACAGTAAAGAGAAGTAAGTAGGAAACTGAAAGATAAAGTTATCAAACATCTTATGAGTCGACGACAGGTGTTTGCGAGAGAAAGGTTGCGATCGATTTATCGACCTTTCCGACGACATTAACATAGTTCAGCGAATTGAGACTATTTACACGGCTATACTGGCTGGCTCATAGCAACACTCCAGCTTTGAAAGGCTTCGTCGCAGCACTCACCGTTGAAAGCAGAGGAAGAGCAAGACTTGCACTCCAATTGAATGAGGACCTGTCTTTCTTTGGTCCCTAAAGTGGCGCCGCACGGTTAAGAAATGATGTGCATGGCGCGGTGTTGTTACTAGAAGCAGAAGAATGCAAGAAAGTAAGTATTTCGCTAGAATAATGCCTTTCATCACGGGCTTATAAAAATCTCCAATCCAATTTCCAATTCTACTAATCTTCGAAATTATGCAGCCGATTTGAAAGGAATTTAAAATTGGTGTTATAGAGATATTGACAAAATCCGTAATTATTTTGCTATTCATTTCATAACAAATATAAATATTAAAAGAGGTCAATTGTTATGGATCAAAATATTGGCGGATGGAATATTATGAGGAGCTATTATATTTATATTTCATGTCAGATATACTCAAAGGGCTTGACACTCCCTGTCGAGGAGCGACCGCAATTAAAGAATTAATTTTCTGTAATTTCGGACTCGAATCTTGGTTTTCAGAATGACAGTACGGAATACCACTCGGCTATTTTGGCCGCTATACATCTTAATCGCACTTCTCCGTATTGACATTCCCAGATGAGGGACGACTGCATTTAGAAAATTTATATTAATTTTTCATTTAAATAAATTGTCTATAACTTTTTGGATGTTAGTATGAATGCTAACCACTCGGCAACCGCGGCCGCCAACCATTGTCCGTTAGAAGCGACAAAAATATCCACTTCCCTCATTCTTGAAAATGTGGTTTGTAACTTTACAATAGTTAGAGAGTTATGTCATATTTGCAGAACCGTTAAATGAAATGAAAAATTTTGCGTCAATGCGTTTTTAACATATAGTAGTACATTCATATATTAAACATTTATAAATTTTACTTTCTCATCGAATACGGTTGGAATCTACAGAGTCCGATTACATACGAATAGCATCTATAAATAATATATTTTAAAGCCGTTAAAAACTTTTGCAAATATTCTGATTTAGTGAAGAGTTTTACCACTCAATCAACTAACCAGAAAAACTGATGGACTTCTTCTGCATTGGATGGACGACAATGTGGTGGTCCTTCAGCGGGTGCGCCGTCGGCAATTAAGGCTTGCTTTAGTGCCTTCATAGCGAGTGTATTACGTTTGGATACCTTCGCCAAGTCAACGATGCGCTCGGGATACTGCACTCCAATAACACATTCACATTGCTCCTGAAGTTCTTGCGACATGCGCCATGGTTCGTGACTGAAAAGGAAAAGCTAATGATAAGAATATCAAAAATAATTTTAAAATAAAAATTTCCTTACATATACTCCTGCGGTACATTTGCCAACTCGGGCACATACTGACGTATATATTCACCCTTAGGATCGAGACGTTTCGAAAATGCTATTGGACAAGAGACTAATGAAGTGTCCAATAAACGTTCAAATGCAGATGATGACACCCACATCCAATTTCCAGCGCAAACCGACCAATCAGCGTCCAAAAGGTATTTGAGAAAATGTTGCAAGCCGTGTTCCCAACTTTGCCAAAGAGCGCCGCGTGTCAGAAACATTGCCACCGTATTACGGAGCGTATGATGTAACCAACCTTCGGCCAACAATTGACGCATAGCGCTATCAATTATGGGAAACCCTGTATGACCACTACGCCAACGTTCCAAATGTTCAGAATTGGGTTCGGCCCATGGAATGTTCAAACAGATGGGATTCTCCTCCATGCGATCATAAAAGGGATTATTTACGGACATAGTATAAAAGTATTCACGCCAAATGAGCTGACCAGTAATGTGTTCTCCTCCGGCCATTTGAATGTGATGATAGAAGGCTTCAATTTGTACGTTTTTGAAGAGATCATGTACGCTCCAGTAAAAACGTCGAACCGACAGGCAGCCAAATCGTAGATGAGCGCTCATTGACTTTGGAGATTCGACTATGTTTGGATTTGCCTGATTTGGTAGATAGTAACCGCCTTTAAATGCGCGTTCTTCAACTTTCAGACGCTCAGCAAGATGCAATAACGCTTGTCTCTCTCCGCCTTGCCAGTTCACTTTGGCAACATAACATATGTTCTCCGGAACAATATCGAAGTCCTCCGGCGATGGTATCTAAGTGAGAAGAGCACAAAGTTCATTAAAAGTAGATAACATATGTAGTAAAATACGAAATTTGTTTTGAAATTTACATTTCGAAATGCATTCAATTTCGAAAGCATGCTTTCTTCCAGCTGTAAAAACTCAACACCCTCCCAATCCGGATCTTCAACTGGTCGCGGTGGCGGTCCAATTATTTCAACGGTATGCTGAAAAAAGTTGGCAATTATAACAATTTTCAGAAGATTACGTAAAAGATTATGTAAGTACCAAGAACATCTGATAAGTTAATGGCGGAATTCCACCATTGGTACTAATAACAGTGCGTGGATCCCAAAGTGTATGTGAAACTTTCTCTACCGCTTCTATACCCAATTCATGACACAATGCTCGCACCGAATCATCACGTCGATTCCAAATCGGCTCACAATCTTGCTCGAAACAAATTTTATTTAATTGATATTGTTCATTCAGGCGTCGAAATATCTTCGCTGGATTGCCCTGAAACAAATATAGCTTGCCAAGACCATGACCGTTGTTGGGTATGGCCTTCAATTGACTATCAATATCGGCCAAAGAGTTTAGCAGGAAACGCATTCGATTATAGCCAACCGTTTTGGTGCCTGAAAAAATTTACGAGAATTCAGTTGAGTTAGCATTTTACTATCGCATCACAGTATTGTAATTTATTGGACCAAGGACCTGACTAAGGCAAATGTAATGCACGAAAAGGAGCTCAGGATCTCTGGTTAGCTTTAAAGGTAGACTTTCATGAACATTTTATTAAGAACTACGAGGGGAATACACTTTGGCTGTATATATCAAGTTTTCTTCTCGACTTCCTCTTCCTACAACATTCCGTTCTATTATGTTTAAAGGTACAACAGAGATGAGTGTAAAGAAAAAATAAATCGAGCCCGATTGAACTTTTTTTTAATTGTATAACAACCATGACCGCGGTAGCCGAGTGGTCAGCATTTCTTAGTGCCATTCGGAAGGCCAGTCGTTATAGAAAAATTAATTTAGAGAATTAAGAGTGTATTTATTACATGAATTAAACTCCTCATGATAAACAAACAGCCGTAGGTCCTTCCGTTCGTCGGAAAAACAACAGGACGCAAAAACCACAATTTGGAGAAGGAGCTTCGCCGAAAAGCGCTTCAGCGATTGTAAAGCACCAATTATATACGAAATATATATATATGGCTAACGAAGCTTGGGTAAGAATTATGGTTGTATGCATTATCAGATTACAACACAAACAAAATTATTAAGCTACTGGTGGTGCGGCCGGCCGTGGTCAGGTCCTCATCCTCCCATTTACAACGAACTAACCACAAGCTACTTATTTGTTAGTGGATCAAGAGATCAGTAACTAAGTCGACTAGTATTTGTGATGTGTCTTTTCTCCAAGATTAAGAGATTGCTTTGGTGCCCTTGTCGCATTGCAGCAGGCGGCTTTTTGTAAACGACTAGAACTCCAGTGATATAATAAAGAAGATTTGAAGGATTTTAATTCAAGTTGGGGAGTTGCCGAAATGAGCCCAGAAGGCTAGATAAGAGATTCTCCCCAAGTAAAATCTTATGAATTTCGTTGCACTATGAAGTGGTGGATACGTTTTAATTATACGTTTGTTTAAATATCTCCAGCTATCTTACTCAAGAATAATTTGAATTAATATAATTTAATTATAAAGCTATTTTCAATCATATTCTTTGTATGTGTAATTGTTTTTTTTTTCGTTTATCTTAACACTGCAACATATACATACATATGTGCATATCTCGTCAAAGCTTAATTTTTTTAATTGTACAAATCGATTGAGTTATTGTACATCAGTTCAACAGAGTATATATACGAGTACGTACATTATGACGTATGTATTTTCAGAGCTCTACTAGTGAGATCAGCTCATTTCCAGCTTTTCATTCTGCTCTCTAAACTCATTACTTTTCTTCTCACTTTGTTAGTATTTACTCACCAGCGCTCTCGCCGTCAAAAATGAAAATGGGTATCAGAGCGATTCCCTCCTCCTTGTCGGCGATGGCCTCCAACAATGCCGGGTTGTCGTGCAAGCGCAGCCCATGACGGAACCATAAAACGTTCGCTCGCTTTGCCATTCTCACAGCGCTCCGTTTGCATGCACGTGAACTGAGCTTATTCAATATCCACAAATATTACAGCACAGCAGTGAAGTAATAGATTAATTTGTAAATATTTTATAACTATACGCTTGTTCAAAAAAAAAAATAAAAAATACTTTTACGTTTACTTATGAGCAAATTTCTGTATTTATTTATTTTCTGTATTTTCTTCGCAGCTTTACTTGCAATCACAACGCTCGCTCTTACATTGCACTTGGAGCTAATCACAAATATGTATGTATGTTCGTGCTTCGGTTGTGTTGTGGGTTATTGATAATTGCAAACTCTTGCAGTGGTGCTTCTAGTAGCTCTTAGTAGTTTAGTAAAGTCGTGCGCTCACTCAAGGGCGATCTGTTCGCCTCAGCCACTTGTTGGCGAATGCAATTAGCGTTGGACGCCCAGCTAGTTTTCTATGTTTTCTCATTTAGTTCTGCTGACGTCGCAGTTTGCTTAGTTGTGAGCATTTTCATCTCTTCGCCGAGACCTTAGCTTATAAAGCTTCTTCAACCCTTCTTTGTTGGCTTTTGTGTTGGAATTTGAATATATGTGTGTATGTGTGTATGGCAATAGTTTAAAATGCGGCACGTTTTTTCTCATCCCCTTCGCGCTGTGGTGTTTCTTGAAAACTTAACTGGAAAAGTTTTCTTTAGCCCGAGTCTGTTGCATCTAAGGTGTACAACATACGACACATTTGTTGTAAGTGAGTGGGCGAGTGAGTGAAAGAATAACGAGTATAGGGATGATTTAACGGTGTACCGTTATTGGCTAATTTCAGAGGAGACACTACTTGTGTGGAGCGAGGTATTGCAATTGTGCATAATAAAACGTGATTAGTTCTACAAATAATAAAAAGAATGAAATTGCGAAGTAAAAGTAAAATTTTTTTTGGTCGCACTGAAGCTCGGAAATTTTTTGCAAAGAGGTTGGTTCAACGTGCTTTTATTGCCGTGTAATATGGATACCTCGCCGGTGTAGTCAGTCGGTGTAGTCGGACAACATTGTTTCATCAAGGCTTAGAGCTCTCAACGGTCGCTCACACAACTGGGGTTTTCTCCTACTGCACATCTAAAATCGAATTCGCTCTCCTCAAGCCTAATATATTATACAATCTCACCATATGAAAGTCTTGCTTCTCGATTCACTTTTTTATTATAAAAGCAGTTCTGGCTTGACTCTGGATTTCTAATGTGCTTACATAACAACAAAGCGGCTGGGGCCGATGGCATACCGGCTGCGCTATTTAAACAAAAGGGTGAATAGCAGACAAGGTGCATGCAGCTTCTATGGTCGGCAGTATATGGTCGTACGAAAGCATGCCCAACGATTGGAACCTAATCGTGCTCTGATCAATCCATAAAAAGGGTGACTGCGCCAATTACCCAGGGATAAGTTTCTGAAATATCGCAAATAAGGTTAGTATTATGGAAAAGACTAAAGTCCCCCATCAAGAAGCTGATTGGCTCTTATCACTGTGGCTTAAGGCCAGATAAATACACCATTGACCAGATATTCACCATACATCAAATAAAATAATTGAAGCACAACATTTTTTTTATCGATTTTAAAACTCTCTTCGACTGCACAGTATTAAGCTGTCTCTACGCTGCTATGTCTGAATTTGGTATCCACTCAAAACATATACAGCTGTGTTAACAAAACTGAACTATTGTACACCAGATTGTAATTGTTGGCGTATGCGGATGAGATTGATATCAACTGTATCTGTGAGTTCGGCTTTCTCCAGGCTTAAGAAATAAGCGAAGTGAATAGGTCTGTCAGTAATGAGGGGAAGACGAAATATCTTCTGCCATCAAACAAAAAGTATCCACGTCATAAAAATAATGTCAGCCATGAAATCCAGAATCACGCTGACTAACAGGTGCTATTTTGAACTGAGTAGGCAATTGAAAAGTAAAGTCCTCTGTCGACAAACCAAAACCAAACTCGACAAGTCACTCGTCATTTCTGTGCTACCACATGGTGTAGAAGCCTAAATGATGTCCACATCCGATAAGTCGGCCCTGAAAGTCTTTGAGAGAAAATTTTTGCGAACAATACTGCAAACCATGGAAGGATGAGCTGTACGAGCTTATACTGCGATGGAGGCAGAGGAAGAGGCATACCTCTACTCCGTTGGAATGATCTGGTGGAGAGCAATCTGGTTTCAATTCATATTTTCATTTGGCGCCAAACAGCGAAAAAAAGGGCAGTAATGGCAGGTTAAAGCTGACGAATGCACCTTATCAGTGTATTTGAATAGCTCGGTGGGCAATCCATCGGCACCGCTTTTTCTTTTGTTTTAAGCAGGGAGTGCTACTCGAATCGGGCTGTCCATCTCATGCCATTCATTTTCACTGCTATTTGGCCGGCTGGAGAAGTATTTGCTTCATAAATTCAGTATAATCTGTGCCTCATTTACCAGGTCATTTCTTTGTGTCCTCCAAGAGTCTGCTCGTGTTTCTAAACCTTCTGTAAATCGCCGTATTCTTTCGTAGCACTACTCCTATCGCTGTTCATGCTGTTTATACCCACCCATTTCAGCCTTTTCGTCGCACTCCACAGAGCCCTTGTGCGAGTTGCGACCACGGTTGAAAGAGTGGAAGCTTGAAATATTTGGACGAAAAAAAAGTTTTGATTTCCTTTAGGTAACATACGCTTCGAGGAAAACTATTAAAACTGACTGGGTGCTCTTAAGCAAGCGGTACAGCATTGGTATTATTTATACTATTAAATACTAGTACAGAACTACAAGTTTCACCTAAAGTATAGTCCCTCACTGCAACGCTTGTATATTACAATAACCAAAGGTGAAATCAAATCAAAAAAATTAAAACTTATGAAAAGTAAAATAAAGTACGCCGCTGCATTTTCAGCGTTTCATTTTTCTTTTTGAAATGCGTCGACTTAGAAGTTCGTAGCTCGTATTTTTATTGCAAATATTCATACAGATATACATATGAGTACGTGTGTGCGTAAGCAGGTAGAGGAGAACATGAGAGAATTTGTATGAAAATGTGAATAAATTGCGTGAGAATATACTGAATTTAGTTTACAAGTTTGTACATACATATATTACGATGCTCAGTATTACATTGCTGGAAATTTGCAAAACTTATCTCCGTTAAATGCAATTTGTATTCACTTTTCAAATATTTATGTATATACACTTATAGACGCATATGCTTTAGAAACACAAATACACCTTATAGGAAATTCTAATTTATTTATAAAAAACGCTCTGACCGGAATGACTGACTTATCAACCCACAACATAAACTACTAAACGTAGAGATCCGAAGCTGGGAAAATTCTTCGTATGACGTATACACCCGATAATAAAGGATTTGCCGTGTAGTGGACCAATTTACTCGGAAAAATGTAATTTACTTTTTAAACTGACTTGTGGAATCCTTTTCCTGGACTGGACGAAACATTTTTATTTGTTATTTGATTTACATAGAATTTTGTGCAGATAAATATCATTGGGAACATTTTTTCGCCCGGGAACTTTTATGAAACCAACTTAATAAAAAAAATATTGGTATATAAACAACTTAGCTATTGACACATTGAATAAAGTGAGTGAATAGAGCAAAAGCTATGCATACATTGAAAAAAAAAAAAAACTAAATACAGTTGGTCTGAAAGCTGTAAATGGATCATTACATGATATAAGAAATAAAAAGTGTCAAATGAAGGGATTTTGTGTGTTGTTAGCAAGCGATTTCCGGAAGGCTTTACGCATAGAGCTCAGAGGAACGGGAGCGGACGAAGTTAAAGGCATATATAAGGCGATCTCATGTATGGCGATCTCATGTATGGCCTTCCGTGAAAAATTTCCCCTCATTTCATTTCAGAGGTGGTGTTACTGCCGGACACTTGTCATACCTGTTGTTTAATGGTGATGGAAATGGTGATATCCCGAAACTAAATAACATTATAATTTTAAAAACATGTGAAACATTTGTTTTGGTTGTACAAGAGCTTATACTTAAAATTCACTCAGAATGTCCCATCTTAATACCAGAAAAAAAATTTAAAAAAATACAAAGTCTTAGTCATAAATGACGTGCTTTTAAAACCATTCGAAGGGTTCGAAGATCGGTATAAATCCTTCGAGTCAGTGATAGACACCGGCGATGCCATTCATTACCCAGCAGAGTTTTTGAATATACTGAAGCCTCTCGCTATACTAACTCATATTTCGAAATTATGAGTTGGAGCGTCACTTATCTTACTGCTTAATATAAATCCGTCAAAAATAGTAGCCTCCAGTAGCTAACGTTTTGTTTTCATAGAGAAACTCAGTTTATCTCTAGGATTGCTCTCAGTTTCTCATCAAAGTATGTTCCGCAGTAACCATAAAAAAAGCTTTTGGTAAAAATCTTAAGGTAGCAGAAGTAGACTTCTCTGCCACCTAATTGTATGTGACATGATTCGGAGTAAACTTACAGAGTAGCCTGACGATTCTAACATACCCAAGAAAAACAAAAATATTACCCACAATGAAATAATAGGCTAGATCTAGGACTTCGTTTTCATTCAAATATCTATATAAGAATTTTATTTTACTTTCATGTTTATATAATATATACATATATATATATTGGTGGAGAAGCTCGGCAGAAATATCGCCTCAGCGTTATATATATATATATAGTTGGCGCTTTGTAAACGCTGAGGCGATATTTCTGACGAGCTTCTCCACCAATTTGTGGTTTTGCATCTTGATGTTTTTCCAAGGAATGGAGGGACCTTCAGTTGCTGGTGGTTTTTTATATTTTTTACTACTTGTATAAATTAAATAATTAAAAAACCTACTTGCGGATGAAGTCACAGCTAAACTCTAGTCTACGACAAAGGTATGCTTAAACTCTGATGGGTTTCGAAGGCAACTTAAACCAAATTGTAATTTTTTTTTGGAAACTGGGTTCACATAAAATTTATATGAAAATATTTTCCTAATGGGTTTGAGTTTATAAATATTGCAACAGGCATACAATCTCGCAGGTTGTGTATATATGTATACATTAATGCCGCTTTATAACCGCTGAAGCGATTTTCGGCCGAACTCCTCCACCAACGTGTGGTTTTGCGTTTTGATGTTTTTCCAACAAATGGAGTGACCTACAGTTTATTCTAAGGAGTTTTTTATTTCATGTTGGAAATGCACCCGAAGGGGCGACTGCTATTGGAAAAATTACCTTTTTTATTTCTTTGTATAATTTTGGTTGTTGATCGGGCAACGAGTCCAACCCAGGACTTTCTGTATGGTAGTGCGCACTACTTACCACTCGGCTATTACGTCGTACATCATCAACAGCATTAAATAGTGCAACGTAATGAAACCTTTTAAATTCACATTACC